CTCCCGGTTGTGGAAACTGAGGTTGGAGGGGCTGAGCCATCGCCCCGAGATGCAAACCCGGGAGCCCCAGGCCCCGTCCGGGTGCCCAAAGGGCCGGCTCACATGTCCTTGTTTTTTCCACTGTGCCCCCCACTCCCCTCCTGGGCGCCGTGACCTTGGACAGCCACGACCGCCCTGCTTCCCTTCTCGACTGTAAACTGAGAGGCTGGGCTGGCTGATCTCAAACGTGCCCTGCCAGCCGGGGACTCTGAGTTGTGCTTGGGGGCGTGACTGGGACATGTCCCAGGAGCCAGCTGCCAGAGCCCACGAGGGAGGCATTTTTTCCTGCCTCGCTGGGGGAAAGCAGACACATGACTCTCTGGGCTGAGCACTTGCGGTGAATTATGCTCAGCGGGGCTCGTGCTCTGGGCTTTGGGAATGTGTTCAGGACCAATCTCCAGGCCTGGTAGCAGCAGAGCTCAGGGCCTGGGGGGAACCAGCTCCCTTTCTCAGCCGGAACGTCCCAGGCCGAGGCAGAAAGCTGCCCACCTCTGCCTTCTGCAAACAGGGAGTAGAAGGGTGGCTCTGCGTCCTGTCCCCACCACTTCCCAGGGAGGGGACACTCACTGTGGCCTCCCACCCTCCAGCTTGCTTCCAGTGGCTCTCCCAGTCACTTGCTGCTTTGGTCTAAAAGTGGGCTCTGGCTTCTTGTTGGCACCAGCGAGGTGATAGATCCTGCATCAGATGAAGAGGTTACGGATGGGGCACTCTTTGGCAGACGGACAGAACAGCGGGCACCGGGGCCTGGCTGCCTCACGTGTCCTCACTCATGCACCACGATGTTAGGGAACCAGGCGCCCCGTTCCCACCCACACCTGGGCCTCCTTGCCCAGTCGCTTCTGACCCCTTTGGAAGGGAACCTGAGAGGTCGGCCGGTGGCGGGGCAGGGAGGGAGAGGCTCTTGGCAGGACCTGAGGTCCAACTGGAACTTTCTGGACTGAGGGAAAGGGCAGGACCCCATGGGATCCTCACTGGGCCCTCGGGGCCGGGCACAGGCTCTGAAAGGAAGACTCAAACAGCCGGGTGGGTGACACAGGGCTCACCGCGAGAAGCTCCCTGTCCCCATCACCCTTTTTTCAGGGCAGTAAAGTTGTGCTGAGAGTCTGAGCTCCAGTCCCGGCTCTGCAGGGGGAGTCTGGCTCATCCCCTCAGCCCTCAGCTCCTCAGTTTCCTTGTGGGGGGTACTGAAGCTGCCCCGGATGGTCACTGACAGAGTCAGAGGTAATGAAGATCTACTAGGCCCAGTCAAGAGGCTGCTGGGCCCTGACCCCTCCCCCACCGGCCTGCACAGTCTTTTCACACGGGACCTCCAGTCTCACTTCCCTTATCCACCAGCCACCAGGCTCCGTCCTACCCTCTCCCCACCCCCCTGGGGTCGGCCAGGGTCACACCCCCATCTCTCTGTCAGCCTCTCCACTTGCAATCTGATGTGTCACACTAGCTTTCCCTCGTGCGGGATACCGCCTCTTCCGGGAAGTCCTCCCTGATCTCCTCTATCCGGGCACTGTTCCTCTTTTGTGCTCCATCAGCCCCAGCACCTCTGCTGATCCTCCTGGGTCATATGTGTCTGTTTACTAGTCCATCTCCACCAGACTGGAAGCTTCCTGGGAATTAAGATCTTTTCTGAGGTTATAAATACAAATAACAACAGAAATCATGGCATTAAAAAATTACCCTTTCTTGGGTACGTTACCTCCTACATGTTCGGATTTAACAATGCCCAGCTATTTTGTGCATAAAGCTCTCTAGTGATTGTGTTTATTCATACCGCAATATTATTTTATAGTGAAATATATCACATATGTGCTCTGTAATTTTGCTTGTTTTTATTATGATGCATATGCTACTGACTATGTTTGAATACACTTAATTTATTTTTTACATGTAATTTTTTTGTTGTGGTGGTAAAATAAACATAACGTCAAATTTCCCATTTCTTTTTTTTTTTTTTTAAAGATTTTATTTATTTATTTGACAGAGAGAGACATAGCGAGAGCAGGAACACAAGCAGGGGAGTGGGAGAGGGAGAAGCAAGCTCCCCACTGGGCAGGGAGCCCGATGTGGGACTCCATCCCAGGACCCTGGGATCATGACCCGAGCCAAAGGCAGACGCTTAACGACTGAGCCACCCAGGCGCCCTAAATTTCCCATTTCTAAGTGTACGCTGTGAGACCATTACCATGTTCTGTCTCCTTTGCTCTTGCCCAGCAGAAACTCTGTACCCCTGAACACCAACCCCCCACTTCCCCTTCAGGATTTTCAGTTGCTATAAGAGATTTTGGAACATTTGGTGGAATCAGAATGAGATCTGTAGCCTAGGGTCCCCTTGGTGTTAACTTCCATCAAGTGGTGGTTGTGTAGGATGGCCGTTCTCAAAGATGTTGGTTTCATGACTCCTTTCTACTCTTAAAAGCTATTGAGAACCCCAATATATTTTGCTCATGTGGGCTATAGTTGTTGATATTTCCAGTATTAGAATTAAAATTGAAAAAAAGCTTTAAATATTTATGAATTCATATAAAAATAAGAAGCCCTGTATTTGGGAACGTATACAACACTTTTACAAAGTGATTATATTTTTCAAAGCCTCCTCCAACTTTTTAAAACATTTTTGCAAGGCTCTTGAACGTCTGGTTTAATGGCAGGTGGCTGGCTCCTCGTCTGCTTCTGCATCTGCATCTGATCTACTACAAACGTGTGTGAAGAAAACACAGCCTCCCGCAGGGAGGGGGAGAGAGAAAGCATTTAATAGTGGTTTCAGGTAATCGTGAGTATTCTTTGACATTGCACCAAAATTCTGCAAATGAGTGTTTCTTTTCTTTTTTTAATATAACAACTTTAGGACAGTATATTCACATGCCATAAAATTCATGCTCTTAAATTCTAGGGTTTTTAGAGTCTTCATAGAGTTGCAGCCCTCACCACCTCCTATTCCTTCCTGGGGGCTGGAAGGGTGGTGTTTGAAGGGAGTGTGCTCAGACCTGGGTAAAATTGGGTCCCCCTCCCCACCTGATAGGAAGACACCATGGAAGGGGAGATGCCAGGCAGGCAGGGGTCCCGTTAGGAAAATCCTCAAGCCCCGCAGACAGGTGGATGCTGAGAGGCCTCTCCCCCTTCCCCTCCTCCTGAGGGCTCACGGGAGGAGGAGCTTGGGTAAGAAAGCCTAGTCCCACTGACTGCCCAACACAGTAGTGCTCATTTTGTATCCACGGAGATGGGGGGGACAAAGCCCCTGGAGAAACACGGAAAGGAGGTCAAGAACCCAGTAACTGTATGAGTGTCCTATGGCCGCAGTAACAAATGACCACACTTTGTGGCTAAAAACAACCCAGACTTAATGTTTCAGTGCTGAGGTCAGAGTCTGATGTGGGTCTCGTGGGGTTGGCAGGGCTGAGCTCCCTTTGGAGTGTCCTGACCTTCTCCAGCTTCTAGAAGCTGCCTGCATTCCTGGGCTCACGGCCCCTTCCACCGCCTCCCAAGCCAGCAGCCTGACACCATCCAGTCTCTGACTCTGGCCCCCTTCTTCCTCTCATGACCCTTGCAACGACATTGGACGCCGTGAGGAAATCCACCATCCTATCCCCATCTCAAGATTTTTGACTTAATCACATCTGCGACGTTCCTTTTGACACACAAAGCAACTTCTTCACGTTCTGGGTATCAGGACGTGGACATCTTGGGTGGGGGGCTTGTTTTGTGTCATCATAGTGGTCAAGACCACGGCCACGGGAGTAGACTGCCTCTGCCATTTGTGGGGCCATGGGCCAATCATGTCACCGCTCCATGCCTCAGTCTCCCCATCTGGAAAGAGGGGATAATGATAGTGCTGCCTCGTCAGGCTGCTGGAAGGGCCAATGAGGTGACATCCGAAAGTTCCTCAGGGTGGGGCCGGGCGTTTGAGAAGTGCTGGGGGGAGGCTTACATCTGTGAGGTCCTCCCGATTCCCAGGGGGTCAGGCTTTCCTGGCCACGGGCCTGGGGGCAGGCCCTTCGCAGGCCCTTCGCAGCCCAGCAACCCTGACAAGTCACCAGGCAGCCTCACACCACCCTGCCTGGGGCTGCTTTGCTGTGGCTCCTTCTGGTCCATATGCTGCCCCGGAGGGGAGGCCAGTCTGTACCCCAGAACCCCCGCACCCAGCCTGCCGGGAGGACCTTCCCGGCACCCTGCCAGGCTCCTGCAGCACCAGGCTCCAGGGAGATGTCCTGGGCCAACACCCCCTGCCCCTTTATGTAGGTGAGGAGACGGAGGCGCAGAGGGGGACCAGCCAGCTGGGTGGCCTCGCAGCTGCTAGGGCCCTGCCTCCTGGCTCACTGCTCACTGTTGCCATGATACCTCCTGGCCAATGCTGGGTGATGTGGGTCGTGGCAATGTCTCTGGAACCTCCTGTGCAGCTGAGGAGGGTGTCAGTGGGCAGGACACCCTCCCCCGTCCATCACCCCTTCCGGAGCCCCGTGTCTGCTGCACGCACAGAGGGCGCCCAGGTGCAGCCCGGCGGTGGGGGTAGGAGGGCAGGGAGGTGGGGCTCGCCCACCACGCTACCACAGGGCTTTGCCTGGGATATCACCGCTTTACAGGAAAGAGACTTGAGTTTTCTTCAGGGTCATGTCCTCCCACATCCTGGGAAGTCAGAGATGCTGAATGTGCACTTGGTGGATAGTGAGTCATCCACCGGTCGACTGGTGGACTAGAGATAGAATCAGAATTTCGTCTCCCCACCAGCGTCTCAAGGCCTCCATTTGTCTCTGTCAACATAGAATGGAAGGGATATTTCTTTCTCTTTTTATTTTTTTTTTAAGATTTTATTTATTTATTTGAGAGAGTGCGTGCACAGAAGGAGAATGAGAAGGAGAAGCAGACTCCCCGCTGAGCAGAGAGCCCGACATGAGGCTCGATCCCAGGACCTGGAGATCATGACCTGAGCCGATGGCAGACGCCCAACCGCCTGAGCCACCCAGCGCCCCAGAGGTGTTTATTTCAAAACAATAACAAGAACATTGGCTTCAGCAGGCCACGTGACCTTGAGCCACCTCTCCCCGACTGCCGGGCTGGCACAGTGAGCCCCCAGCTGCGGGAGGGAGATGCCCTTGGAAGCCAGGCACTGCACCTGCGTGAGCTCATCCTGCTGGGGTGAGCTGGGAGCTCCCCAACAGCCCGGCTCTACTGCTTCCTCCAGCAGAGGAGAAAGAAGAGTGGGAGGGCTATGTGACTCGGCATATGGGACAGGCCCCTGGGAGAGCAGGGAGCGGAGACCACACAGCCTCCCCGCTCAGGGCTCCGCCCGCCACCGTGGGTCTGTGCGTATGTTTGTGTGTGTGTGCATGCTTGTGACTGTGCACATATGTGTGCGTGTGCGTGCCGCCTGGCTGACTAGGCGTGGCGCACTTCTGGGTGCAAACATGCGTGTATGCGAGCGCGTGTGTGTGCTCGCGCGTGTGCATCAGCATGCACGAAAGCCTCTACGCGTGAGCGCACACGTGTGCACGTGTGTGCATCTGCACATATCCGTGTGTGGAGCGCATTCACGTCTGCGTGTGTGAGCCCGTTTGTGCGTGTTCATGTCCGTGTGTGCACACGTGAGTCTTCACGTCCTCTCTTGGGCAGCGCCGTGGAGAGTCGAGGTAGTGCTGGAGGTGGAGGCAAATGCAGGCCTGGGGAGAACTGCTGGCTCGGGCCGGGGCCTGCCCTCCGCTCAGCCATGGTCTGCTCAGATCAGAAGACCTTGGGTGCAAAGCCAAGGTCAGCAGGGCAGGAGGCTTCCCAGGACGAGGCTGCCAGCACCTTTGACCGTCTCTGTTGCTCATTTCCCAACTTCTCCCCCTTGAGGGCATCTTGCCTGTGTTTCTTGGTTTCTAGCCCATTCTAAGAGCCTGCTGCCATGCTGTCCTTGGGGGAGCTCCATCTTCCAGTTTCCCAGGTAAGTGTCCCCACCCCAGCGAGGGTGACTGTTCCAGGCCAGCCTCTGAGGGATGCCCTCCCCTGGTGACCCGCCTCCCCGCTTGGCCACCGAGCTCACAGCTGGCGCCCTTTCCCCACCCCCCGGCTCTGGGGGGCTCCTTTTTAAGGCTCCCCCATAATGCGAACAGAACAGCCAGCTTTCCCGGAAACAAAGCCAGAATTGTAAGTGCTTGTGGGAAAGGGCAACAGTTTGTGCGGCACAAAGAATTTATTTTTTTCCTTCCCTGATCTGAGCCCTATCACCAGGCCCATGGCTGCTGGGAATTCGGAAGCTTCTTCTGGGAGAAGGCTGGGGCAGGTGGTGTGGGTGGCCAGCCAGCCAGAGCTGGTCACCGTCCCCTGCTGTCCCCACTGTGCCTCTGTCCTGCGATGCCCCAGTCCTCCCACAGGCGTGCCTGGGACACACTTGGCTTCTCCTTCCTCACTCCGGACACCGGCCTCTCCGGACCTCCTTCTCCAGGCTCCTCGCTGGGTCCTGGGCCTCCGCTCTGGCCTTCAACACCGGCCCCTGTTGCTCCAGCTGAATCTGGTCGTCTTCTCCATCTTGGAGGAGATCCAGGTTCGTGCCCAGATTGCAAGAATTTGAGAATTCTCACAGCTTTCTCCAGGAGGAGGTCACCGAGAGGAAGTGTCCGCCGGTTGACTCTCCAGGTGGCTGTGGGCGATGGGAGGCTCCTGACCCCTCCTGTGCCCTTGGAATGTACACTCTGCCCGCTGTTCCCACAGTGGGAGCTGTTCTTAAAGACACAGGCTTGAGGGGCGCCTGGGTGGCTCAGTAGGTTGAGCGTCTGCCTTCGGCTCAGGTCATGACCTCAGGGTCCTGGGATCGAGTCCCACATGGGGCTCCCTCCTCAGCAGGGAGCCTGCTTCTCCCTCTCCCCCTGCTGCTCCCCCTGCTTGTGTGCACGCTCCACTCTCTCCCCTTCTCTCTCTCTGACAAATAAATAAATAAAATCTTAAAAAAAAAAAAAAAGACACAGCCTCGAGAGAGTAAGATCCTCAGGCTCACGCCGCCTCCTTGCCACTCCACACCCTGGCCCCTCGGCTCCCTGGCCCGCAGCTAACGCAGCCTGGGGCTGGCTTCCCCAGAACAGTAGAAAACCACGGCCTCATGCTGGCCCAGTCCTGAATGCTGCGGCCTACTGCCGGGGAGGGGGCTCAGCATGCAGAAGAGCCCTGGCTTCTAGCCCTGGCCGGCCCTGACCTTGACCTGGCCTTTGGACTCTTGTGGCCATGTCACACGGACATTGAGTGGGGCCCTCGGCCCAGTGGTTCCAGGGAGGGCTGTTCCCGTAACAGTCTGTCCGCATCACCTCCCCGCCCCACTGCTCCCCTGACCCTGAGCGTCTCCAGTCCCCCCCAGCCAGGCCCTGGCCGGTAGCCAGCCCTGGGGCAAACGGCTCCAGCTCCACCACGAGGCCAGCTCAGTGGTGTGTGCCCCCAGGGCTGCGTGAGGCCCAGCTCCTTCCGACAACCCCCGGACCTCCAGCCTCCCCAGATGCCAGGACCCCACCAGCTGTGGTCAGAGAGACAGCTGCTGCTCAGTGTCAGCCAGCGCAGACCGGGCCCACGGAGAAAGTCAGCTACAAGATGAAATCCCAGGTCGGGTCTGGTTGGACGTCAACAGACCAAGGTTGAGCCCCTCTGAAGGGTGGGGAACACCGGGTCCCTCCCTGCGGTCAGCCTCACAGGTGATCTGGACCCAGACGCCGAGCTGAGGGTGTGCAAATCTCCTGTCCTGTGGCGGGGCGGGGGCGTTGGCCGTGGACCCCAAGGCCGCCCAGGAGTCTGGATCTGCTGCCGGACCCGAGGCCTCAGGTGCCAGACACACACAGCCTAGATGCCAAAGCCCCCCACCCCGACTCAGGGGCCTGGACTTACCTTCCCGGCCTGCCTGGGGCTGGGCGCAGATGTGGAAGCATGACCCAGAAGCCAGACGAAGATACTTCGGGCACGGGCCCTATCCTGGCCACCCCGGCCACTGGGGCCACTCACACTACCTCCTGAATTTGGGACCTGGCCCCGGCCCTGGCCCCCAAAACCACACTCATGCTGGACAACTCCTTCTAGAAGCATCGATGTCCCCAAACCACGTACCCCCACTTCTCCTCATCTGCTTTTTCCTGATCGTAGGGACTTCCTTGCAATGCTCCCTGGTGTCACTCAGCACCACAGTCCCTGAAACGGGCCTGCAGGGTCACAGGGAGAGCTCAGGAGATGTCCCGTGAGGACAGGTGTGGCTCTGGATTACTCTTCCCCGTTTGACCCACCAGGACTTCTGTGCCCTGCAGGTACCAACCCTGTCTTCTCAGCTGCTCATGGACCCTCGACGCACCTCCTCCCCTCCCTGCCTAGAGTTCTTTCCCTCCCTCCATGATCTACACTGACTGCAAAGCTCTCTCTCTGAAGCCGAACTCCCCAGGGGCTTCCCTGCCCTGGGGGGCTCTATGCTGCTGCCATCACCCCAAGATGTAGTGTCTCCCAGATAAAGCTGTACACTCCTGGTTCAGGCCAGACAGAGACCCGCTTGCTCTGGGGGTGGGGGTGGACTATGGAGGCCCACATCCGAAGGCGGGGTACGCGGGCAGGAAGGGCTGGCTTTGAGTCCATGACCCGGTACTCTTCCTGATCAGCGTTGACCTCAGGAACTGCTTCTCCCCGGGCTTCAGCTTCCTCCCCTGTGAAATGGGGAGCCGTCTCCCCACACAGGGGCATCAGGTGTCGGGAGGAGAATGCAAGCTGGGGCCACAGATGCTTCCAACCGCAGCTCTGCCACTCACCGCCGTGTGACCTTGGGTTGATCTTGCCTAGCCTCTGTCTCCTGGCCCTGAAAACACCCAGAGCCTGAGACTAAGGGGGGTGATTCGGGGCAGTAGCACCCAGCCCACTGGGTCAAGTAGCTGGCACAAGGTGGGTCCCGGGGGAGAGGGGGACGACCGGTCAGGAGCCAGCAGGCCTGCTTCTGGCCCTTATCTGACCGGCTGCCCTGGGAAGGTCATCGGGCCCCTGAGCTGACTGCCCCTCAGAGGCCCTACTGCGCGGCCAGATCGCGCGTCTGTCCCCAGGCCTAGGTCCCGGCCTAGCAGCCCAGCTGTGCTTGGGAGCTGAATGCCGCCGAACACGGTGCTTGTGCGTGGGCTGGCCGGGAGCCCCGGATCTCCCTCGCCCCATGAGGTGGAGGGGCAGCTCCCACTCACTCTGGGGCTGCCCCCGAGGAAACTGCAGGGGGCTGGGAGGCTTGCTGGGCCCGCGGTCAGAGAGATAGGACAGCACGGACAGCCACGGGTGGGCATGGGCGGACCCTCTGCCGCTGGGTGCCCAGCCTCCCAAGCCCCCTTTGGGCCTGCCTCACGCCTGTTATCGGGGAACTGCCCAGAGACAGCCGTGCCACAGCTGGAAGTAAGTGCTTGGGAGTGGGGGCAGGGCATGGTGGCCACTGGCCCTGCTGTAGGGGGCGGCCTACATGGGGACGAGCTGGAGGGATGGGCCAGCTGGCCGGGGCTCTCCTGGCAGGGGATGCAGGCCAAAGGCAGGGAGCCTCGAAGGGTCTGGTGTGGCCAGGGGGCACAAGACGGAATGGTGACACAGGGCATCAGTGACTGGGCAGCCAGGCTCCCCCTCCCCATGGGGGACGTGGGAGGGGGTGACCCAGCTTTCTCCTTGGCAAGTGTCCTGCAGCCCTAGCCAGGGGACAGGCTAGAGCCCAGGGGACCGGGGGAGGGCTACTGGGGCACTCGAGGTGGGGGGGTACTCTTCCAGGGGCCTGTGGGCCAGAGAGGGGGAGGGCAGGGGGAGGGGAGGGGGCAGCACCGGGGGCCGCCTGGCTGTGTCACACACCGGGGTCTTCCAGGGTCAGACCAGCACCGGTCCCCGCGCAGGCACCCAGCCTGAAGGAGCTGTGTGTCATATTCTCGGGGCTGGCCTCGAGTCTGGGGCAGAGTAGGGTCGGGAAGTGGGGCAGAGGTGCGGCCTGCTCCGCCTTGTCGGTGGGAGCCGGCCTGAAAGGGCTGGCACGGGGAAGAAAGCAGGCAGCAGAAATGGGGGAGGCAGAGTCCTGAAGACACCCTTTGATCCAGCCATGCTTGATGCCGGTCCAGCTCCTGGAGTTTTGGTTGTCAAAGGCTATAAAACCCCCTGGGCCTAAGCTGGTTTGGCTTGGGTTTCTGTCACCTGCAACAACAACTTCCTGATTAATTCTGAGACTGACTCTAGGAATGACCTGCCTTATTGGGTATGAGTGGTCCCCGGTGCCCACAGAGGGTCCCTCACCCTTCCACCACATCAGCAAACCACATAGCGACCCCCCAAAGGCCCCCACAACAAACACGTATAATCACAGAGTGTGAAGACGGGGCTCCTCATTCCTTTTCCTACTCTGCAGCTAGCAGACTCCTACTCATCCTACAAAATCCAACTCAGGACTTACCTGTCCCAGGAAGCAGTCCGCGAACTCTCCTCCATCCCACTGTTTCTCTTGTGCCTCCAAAACCGAGGCAGCCCCTCCCCAAACCCTACTGTGTAGCCATTGGCTGTTCCAGATCTGTTTCCCAGCTGAAGGATCTTTGGAAGGCAACACCCCCCAAGGCGGTCCCTCAAGGTGATAAACATCCTGTTCTGGCGAGTCTGCATTCGAGGCTGCCCTGGGCCATGAACTGACGCCCTCCACTCCCAGCCATCCGTGGAGCCCAGTGCCAGGACTTAGGAACGTCTGGGTGCAAGTGCGGGGCCAAGAGGAAAGATTGCTTCCAGGAAGGCTCCCCAGAGGTGGAGCGGCTGGGCCCTGGCGTCCAGGGCAGCTGGTGGAGGCAAAGCCAGGCCTGCTCGTGTTTGTGCAAGTGTGCCCGGGACCCCAGGCAGGATGTGTGTCTGCCAGGCTGTGGGACCTTGGGCAGATTTCTTATCATTAAGCTGGGGGGGCAGAGAACATGCACAAAAGGGTCAGATGACATGGGCAGTGTCAGAAGCTGGGGGTGGCGGCTGTGATGGAAGGCTTGGGTGAAGGTGACGAGGAAAGGGGGCAGCAGGAGGGCCGTCCTAAGCAGAGGGCCCGCCGTGAACAAAGGCTGGGTGCCATGCGCTCTGGGGTGGCAGAGGCCTCCTGTGGCTGGAGGGAGAAGCTCCCCCCTGCTGCAAGTGAGCCCCCAGGAGCTAGAGATCAAGCCGAGGCTGCAAACCAGGTGGGTGAGGACTAGGTGACGTCTGGCCCCTCCAGGCCCCACAGTTGCTCCCTCTGGGAGGCAGGCCCTGTGCCGGGCAGGATGGGAGTCTGGATTTGGCCTCCTCAGGACCGCCTTGCCCAGGCCCAGGGAGGCCGCACAGCCCATGGCCTCCCAGACAAGGCTGACCCGCTAAGCACCACCTTGGCTGTCGGGGTCTCTTGGAGCAATGGAGCCCACCGGGCTCGGCCCAACTCCTATTCTGCTTCCCCCACACCCACCAGTTTGCCTCAGGGTCAGGCCAGCCGCTGCCCCTCACTGGGACAAGGGTCAGCCGGGCTGGAAGGGCCCGCGGTACCCAGTTCCTGTCAGCGGCCAGGGGTGACACTTGCCCAACCACCCACGGCCACACCCACGCTCCCCGCTCCCTCTGCCACCACCTTGTCCTTGTGAGTCTAGAACTTTGGGGGGTGGCCCTCTGGGGGGGCCGAGGGATACCTCCAGGATTCCCTCGGGACGGGCCTCCCCGAGGCTCTAGGAGGCTGCTGATCACCCAGGGGCGCCAAGCAGTGACCGAGCCGGTGATGACAATCAGTGTTTACTGCTCACCGTGTCCGTGCTGGGCTCAGGGTATACGCAGGGGAGAGGGAGACCCCTGTCCCGAAAAGACACTGCTGTATGACCCTGGACATGATGCTGACCTCTCTGGGTGTCGGTGTCCCCGTCCCAGGCACGGGGATGGGAAATCTGATCCAACCCCCGTTGTGGGATCTGATGAGACCCAGGCCTCTGGCCATCTGGCAAGTGGTGGATGACGGGGGCTTTTGTCCTGGACCTTCTCCTGCCATCTCAGATGCTGCTGATTGTGACCTCGGGCCCCACCTGCGTGGAAGGCA